GTCGCAAGACGTTTGGCTTTTGAGGCCATGGAGTTGATTGGTAGAAGTTGGATTTTGGTGGAGACATTTTGTGCCTCAGAACACAAGGTTCGACGAGCCTGGGCTCGAGGCATGATTGCAACCCTTGGTAAACACTTGCGGACATGGTTGTTATCTGTAGAGGAGGTGAAAATTTAAGGAGAAACAGAGTAAGAACAGAGAAGAAACAGGGGAAGGAAATGAAATGAAATGAAAGGGAGAACATGAATGAGAATTGAAAGGAGTGGGGGTGAATTTATAGGTGGAAAAAGGTGCACCCACGGGTATTCTATTGCACAGACCAGGAAGCTTTCTTTTTTCCCTCTAATTTTTTTTTTTTTTTCCCGGCTGAGTGACGTGGGGAACTTTATATGCCACTACAATTATTCTGCCTTTTACTCTGCCACACATTATAACGAGAAAAATAATCCAGGAAAGGAGCATTTTGAAATGGTCGAATACTTTGATATTACCGAGCGGTTGGTACAGTATCACCTAGTGCTTAATATAATGGGTAAGAATTTTAATTTTTTTATTCAATGTTTAAGTTTGAATTTCTATAATTATAGTAGGTCGATAGGACTAATTTTTTTTTTAACGTCAAAGCAAGCAAATGGGCGAAGCTACACAGTAATGAGGGTGGACCCGGGGACACCCTCAATTTTTTTTCAAAATATTATATGTATACTTATATTTATATACCCTAAAAATTATAAATATATTTTTTATTTCAATTTTTTAGCCCTTAAATTTTAGTTTAATAATTTTACTATGATAATATCTCAATGATAATGTGTTGGAACATTGTTTATTAAATAAATTTAATGAACTGTTAGTGAAAATTTGATATTTTTTAATCATAAAAATGACAATCAGCTTAGCTCCATTTTTTCACAATGGTAATAATTAGTTATTTTTTATACATATACAATATATATTATTTTTTAAACTTTTTTATGTTAAATGGATTACGTGTATCAAATATGATATAATAAATATAAATATATTATTATATAGTGTGATAAGTTAAGAGAAAAAAAATTATAGTGTCCTAAATAAAATTTTTGATTCCGTCCCTATACGTGGCGGACCTTTAGCTTCGATCTCGACTTAGATATAGTGGGGTTTCCGGCATATAGATATGTGAAGCTGAAAGGCAATAATTAGAATCATATTTGAAGAACTATTTTATTTTTTTCCAAATAATCCTTGAAAAACAACAGTGTAATGTCCACAAACAGGCCTCCATGATTTATTGCTTTGTTTCCTATCCTCTTTTTGTGCTTTCACACTAGGACTTGACCACGGAATCCAAAAAAAAATTACCGTACGTCTAAAATTTATTATTTTAATATGTATTTTCTTAATTTTGTAAGTCATTTTACAATCACAAAATTTGTTATTTTTGTGGGTTTTTTTTATCATTATTGTGATTACTATTTTTATCACTTTTTTTTCAGTATTAAAAAAATTATTATATTTGTGAATATTTTTATTACTGTGGTGGTACCTATATTTATCAAATTTTTTCGGTACTAAAAGAGTGATAAAAATACATATAGTAATGGTAAAAATACTCACAAATTCAATAAATATTGATCCAGTACAAAAAATTTCTTTTTTGACAAATCCCTCACCTCTATATGAACAATGTTAATTGCATCAAAACTTACATTAAATCACTTATACTCGTTAGATCAATAGATTTTATCATTGATCCAATAATTACAATTAATTTAATACAAATTTTAGGGCATAAAGAATTATCCCCTCTCTATTGCTTTACTGTACTAGCTCTCAAGTCTTGGAGGCAAAACCTATGTTGATCCTGTCTGAATTCTCATTGAGAATTGGACCATCAAGCACTCCTAATCCAGACAATTTAAGATAATCCCTCAATTTGCCATCCAGTCCCTCTACATCTCAGAAATTGTTTAACAATCAGATCAACTTTAGCCTTCCTACTGGACACTCTTTCTCTGCTTAGCAAATGCACTATGTCACAAGCAGTACCTTCATTTCACTCCTTTCACTACAGAGAGTTTGTCTGTTCCACACTTTCTATTATTCAAAACCATTTTGGCTCTGATAGCATAGTGATTGTTTGTGAATTCATCAGTCATGACTCTAAACATAGACCCACCAACTACATGATAGATAAGAACTAAGAAGCTACTCACAAAAAAAAGAGACAGATTACTACATGAGCTTTCCGATATTCTGGGATTTAAAAAGAATATATAGTCTCATACTGCTGTATGGAGAGGCTATTTTCGTGTATCGCACTACCACATGGATCACAATAGAATAATTCGATCATTGCACCGAGACCCGCACTTAAAAATCTCTAATGAGAATCTACTTACTATTAGATATAATTAACCAAGTTAACCTTTATTCTTTATTTTCTTCCAAGGCAAGGGGAATATGCTCTTTTCTTTTTCTTGACGTTACATAAAGAAACCAACCTGTCCTTGCTTTTTTGTTGCTGTAGCCTCCCTGTTGGCCAATCTCCCTGGCTCAATAGAATATAGAAGTATATAATTCCATGACAACATGGACAAATTTGTACTTTATGTAAAGAATTTATTTTTTATGAATACCTTAATCCCGACATAAAAGATCTATTTTTGACCGGATCAAATAAAAAATTAATCGAAGTTCGTAAAAATTGACCCAAACAATTCTATCCATCGAAACAAAAAAACAAGAACAAGATAGAAGTGTACGGACAGTTTGTGCAAAACCAGCACTTGCAAAAGGATTGGTCCCCTTTTAATCATTTTTTAGTCAGTGTTCCCCACAGATATTATACTCTGGAGACATAAAGCCAGAGTATGACCTATTCTTTCATAACAATTAATCATAGTGGATTACATAGGTCAATTTGTATCATAGTTTAGTATTTGGGTCTAATGTGCATCATCATTTAATTAACAAAATCAGGCATCAAAACAGTTTTATTTGAAGATATTTTAGNTCTAGTTTATGTCATAATTTTTGTGGTAACTTTATGGATTTTTTAATCCAACAAAAAAGTAGCAGAAAAAGATGAAAACAATTGACTTGATTCTTTTTTGAAGGCTAGGTCATNCCTAGTTTATGTCATAATTTTTGTGGTAACTTTATGGATTTTTTAATCCAACAAAGAAGTAGCAGAAAAAGATGAAAACAATTGACTTGATTCTTTTTTGAAGGCTAGGTCATNTTTAGTCTCACATCCATCACTATTGACGTAATCTTTTTTTGTTAAGGAAATATCGATCAACACTCGTCATCATCAGATTTAAGTTGTAGTAATTCAATTTTACAAGAAAAATTGTATCGGTATAGTTTCTGTTTTCAAGTAAAAAATTCAAATGTCTTTCGCCAATGATTTTAAATGATTCAATTCCTACATCAATATCACCAATCATAACCCAAATGTTGTGTTGAAGCACGAAGGTGAGGAGTTAAATGATAGGTTGACTTTGAAACATGTGTTTGGTACTAGCATTTCAAATGAATAAGTAGAATAAATGGATGAGATGAAAGGAGTTGAGCTACCTATTAACCACTAGTACTAATCTTTAGGCAAAAAATTTGTAATGTAGATGGAGTCGAGAAAGATTCTCGTACCAACCGAATTGTCTAACTTAAACAGGTAGATGTGTATACTATAGACTAGTAGAGGCGAACAATGACAGTATTTATAGAACAGGTACTTGGGTAAACTAATGTATCCTAGAGGCTACCCGTGTTTGCCTCTCTGTACAAGAGTTAATGATATATTACAATATTTTTAATACATTTACGGTATAATGTACAATTCGCCTTAATTTTTATTAAATCTTGCATTCGCACTGCAAGAATTGATTCCTCGGCCACTGGGGTTCTTACAAATCAAAAAAAAGCCTAGAAAGGCTAACCAACAATTTATGAGGCCAGGACAAACTCAAACCCAACCATCAAAATTGCTCTCGTTATCCATCTTCTGATTCTTTCTTTTAGTTTTATAATGGCCGACCAAACCTTAAAAAACTACTAGAAAGGAGGAACTGTTATAAGACTGGTTAATGTGAAATAAAATTAAAAAATTTAGATCTTTTTTAAATCATTTGTTTGATAAATAAATAAATCCGACACGATACGACTAAAAAACGAATTGAGTATAGGTGAAATCAATCAAAAGAAATACACGATACAACTCGTTTACATGTCGGTTATATACAACACGAACCCAATATGACATAATTCGTTAGACACGAATCAATAAACGAATCGGATATAAGTAAAATACTTTTTTTACATAAACTTGTTAAGATATAACACAAATTCATCTCACCCAACACGATTTATAGGCATATGCCCCCTCGTTAAAACCCTAAAGTTAGTCAAGATTTTTCTTCTCTCTCTCTCTTTATATATATATATATATATATATTATCACGGTACATTGTCAACTTATGCTTTAGGACATTCAATGGAAAGAAATGGGAATCCATTCATGGCTTACACTAGCATGACAAACTGCACTATCTTGGCTTTTTGACCATGTGAGTGCAACCTATTTCACTCCAACATAGGTGCTCGTTTAAGCTTTACCAAAAAAAAGGGTCTATGAAAACATGTTGGTTAAAGCTTAGCTTTATTGTCCTTGCATTTCAATCGAATCTCTACTTGTAGACATGGTTATCATTGTTGGCATCACTATTATGATCCTTAATTCCATTACTATCATTAGTAATAGTATTTTCTTCGATAACCGAGAATCGTCCTAGTGTCCACAACAAAAACTTGGGATGGATATAAAACTCGCAAACCGATCGAAAAAAGCTTTAATATCTGATGAAAATTTTCAGAGACACCCTACTCTGAAAGATATTTATTATACATCAAGGAAACTAAAAAGTATAGTAGTGACACAACATCTCACCTCCTCTTTAGCATCCACTCCAGAAAGAAATGAAGGTCACAAATGACAATGGAAGTGTGTCATACCATCAGGATATGTGAAGATTTTGAATTTCAATCCGTAATGTTCTAAGCTTTTCCTCAGCTTTTGTTAATTCATCTTCGGTCTCCAAAAGTTTATCCAGTCTATTTTGCATTAAATCTTGATACGGTTTGCCGATGAGTTTCACAAAGTTTTCCAGATTCTCAGTCGTCTCCAACAGGTCCTTCTGCATCGCCTCTTCAAGTTCACATGCCAATGCATCAGCAGTCCTTTTAACTTTATCCACGACCTTCTGCCTACGGGCTGGGAAATTTGAAACTGCTAACAAACTATCGAGCAAAAAGAGATTCAATCAATATACAATGTTATGCAAATAGATTTTAAGAATGAACCATAAAACATTAGAAAAGAAACAATTCAAGCACATAAACGAGCGTACTATCATACAAAACAGTAGCAATATAGGCAAAATATGCATACATTTTTCATATCAAAGAACAATAAATAAACTGCTAGTCGGCACATTAATATTATGCTGCTGTGCACACAGAGCTTTTTACTCATATTAGGCAGTGAGTCACTTGTCACTGGTGGGAATGTTTTTGTAAAGTCTAAAATAATCCTTTGCAAGTCAGTTGCGTCAAATTCCATAGCAGTTGCAGATTATAATGAACTTCTCTTATCTCAAATGTAAATTGATTTGTAAATATAGCAAAGAACAGAGCACATCAAAAGTTCAATTTATATTGAAAAGAATTAACATCATTAGTCACCTTAAAACAGGTTCCATGGAAAATAAAATTTATACACCTCAAAGAATAAAGTAATATTCATCATTTTCCACTGGCCAATATAGAACTCTGTTCACAGTCACAATTATCCCCACGCATTCTAAGTGAATAATCTAAATAAACATAAACCCATACTGTCATATTCCCCCAGATTAAATTGCTAACCAAATTTATTTTCGCATGGACTATACCATTGGTATTCATGTTTTGATTGACACCTCTTACAGAAAAACAAAAAAGCTCATGGTTTGATTAACTTATTAACATATCCACCACAATGCCCTAGGCATTACTGGCCGGATAGGCACTCCATGAGATGTCACCAAAGAAATTTTGAGCTACATCATTGCAACTTAGTTGAGTTGTGACCACTTGTGCAATGCAGGTTAGGATAGACATAAAGGTGGGCAAATGCAATCATGAAGTTGAAGAACTTTCTTTCAAAATATCCAGAAGGAGAGGGGGAAGAAGGAGGGTGGGCAGGCTTCAGAAATAGGATCAAAAAAAATTACAATTGCAAGCATAAATCAAGAGAAATGATACACTACCCGCCAGCAGAACAAAGACCGAGAGCAAGAAGATCTTCCAAGGTTGTTGGTAGCACAGAAGTTAGAAGTGATGCAGATAAACCAGCTGCTCCTAGACCACCAAAAGTTCCCAAGAACTGAAAATATGTACAGACAGAGTAATCCATTAGTATCAAGCTAGCTTATCCTTTTCGAACACCAAGTAAAGTTACCTCCAAACTATTCACACTTTGGAGAATGTGAAACAACTTCAAGGAAGATCCACCTCTAGTTTATGTCATAATTTTTGTGGTAACTTTATGGATTTTTTAATCCAACAAAGAAGTAGCAGAAAAAGATGAAAACAATTGACTTGATTCTTTTTTGAAGGCTAGGTCATGTGGATGTTATTTTTTGATAAGTTGCACTTGCAATGCTAGTCAACAGCCACTACAACCTCAACCAGTATAATCAAGAAGATTTTAATTTATTTTTCATGTCTGCTTGGAGTCATAGCGCAGCATAAGTACTTAACAATTGAAATAATTCAGTAAAGGAGCTGGTAATACCCGACTATTAGACTTAAGTTAGAAGTGGTTATTATTGAAGTTGAAAAATATTATTCTTCCACGAGTATATTGTTACAATTGATTTGAGGTTATAATATGAAACACAAAAAAAGGCAACTAGAGTTCAAAAATTACTACATCATTTATCAGAAACTATTATCCTTCAAAGTTGTACTCTAAAAGAACTTCAGCGTGGCTGTTAGGATCACATTCCTGTACTAACAAAACCAGCAGACTTCAAAAAGTTATTGAAATGGATTTTCTAGCGAATACAGGAAAAAGCATTTAGGGTTGCCTCTTGGTTAGTGTAACACCCAAACTCAAGAAATAGCAATGTGCCAAAGGAGAATCAATTGAATCAAGTGTCATTACTTGGTTCAATCTGGTAAGCCTAACAAAAGATGTTTTAACTTGGATTCTCAAAGATGCTGCAAACATTGTGTATGCGCTACTCTATCGAAACAAATATATTTTACCAACCTTCAAGAGAAACATTGTTTCACTTTTCTTATAAAGATCTAAGCCAAAATAATCAAAGAGAGAAATTGATTTCCCCAAAACATTTATGCTTCATTCAAAATGAGAATTTTGAAACCACAAATCTTTTTTACACTATGGAAACAGAAAGTAGTGGTGAGGCCTTGTTCAAGAATAATAACTATTGTTTATTCACATTACAATCCCCAGACTTACCACTTCACGAATTTCTTGCTCAAACAGTTTGGAAGCAGCCGGAGCACTGAAGTTCTCTATTATTTTTATGCTCAGTTCATACTTTCTCCCCAGCAACTCACTAGTCTCCAGTTGTGCCTGCTTTTGTGGATCAATAAATGAAGGCCATCTTTTCTCAAACAATTCCTTATACAGTCTTCCTTCACGAGCATTATTTGATTGTAACCATGTCATATATTCACCCAGTAGTTTCTACACATCAGGACAATATTCATAAAAATAACTGAAAGTCAGATCTTTTCAGTTCCAAAGGATATCTGGTACAAAGTATGTCGAGGAACATTATAAGCAAATGAGAAAGGTACAGTAAAATCATCACAATGTAGTCCATGCTGTAACCTGAACAAAAATCATAGCCCTTTAGATGCTAAAACACACTAAACTGTCAACCAGCTTCATATTGTTTGGAGATGGGGGAAAGGGAAAAAAAAAAGAGACAAATTATAGACAAAATTCAAATACACAATAAGCATGAGAGAGAAAAAAGGTAGCTTGTATCAAGTAGTAACTTCCTTAACTGTTACAGCTTCTTGAGTTAAAATGAAACAATAAATATTACATAGACTAAAAGGTATGAATAAGCAACTGTCCCTGATCATTTCTTGGCTAGATGTTAGTGAAATAGGCAGCTATTTCAGTAACCACGTTATACAGAAATTATGGGAACAAAATAAAAGAAGTGTATATGAGCTTGTTAGTGCACACTTCTAGTAGAGAACTACAAACACGTGACTTGATGAGAAACCAATGTAACAAAAAATTATAGCATGCACCTACTTGCGCTTCAGAGAGTACAGGATTGATGATGTCATTGCGAATACTTGAGGCGACCGGCATCGAAGCAGATTTCTCTCCTTTGAAAACATATGAAGTGGCAAGGTCAAGGTTTGATAATCTTAGAGTTGATTCTATAAGCTTGACAATACGTGCTTGTGTAGTATCAATCTGCATTTTCAAATAAATGCTCCATGTTATAGACTAATGGTTGGGATCTGGCTCACAGTAAACTAATTCACAATAACATACNAGGAGAGGGGGAAGAAGGAGGGTGGGCAGGCTTCAGAAATAGGATCAAAAAAAATTACAATTGCAAGCATAAATCAAGAGAAATGATACACTACCCGCCAGCAGAACAAAGACCGAGAGCAAGAAGATCTTCCAAGGTTGTTGGTAGCACAGAAGTTAGAAGTGATGCAGATAAACCAGCTGCTCCTAGACCACCAAAAGTTCCCAAGAACTGAAAATATGTACAGACAGAGTAATCCATTAGTATCAAGCTAGCTTATCCTTTTCGAACACCAAGTAAAGTTACCTCCAAACTATTCACACTTTGGAGAATGTGAAACAACTTCAAGGAAGATCCACCCCTAGTTTATGTCATAATTTTTGTGGTAACTTTATGGATTTTTTAATCCAACAAAGAAGTAGCAGAAAAAGATGAAAACAATTGACTTGATTCTTTTTTGAAGGCTAGGTCATGTGGATGTTATTTTTTGATAAGTTGCACTTGCAATGCTAGTCAACAGCCACTACAACCTCAACCAGTATAATCAAGAAGATTTTAATTTATTTTTCATGTCTGCTTGGAGTCATAGCGCAGCATAAGTACTTAACAATTGAAATAATTCAGTAAAGGAGCTGGTAATACCCGACTATTAGACTTAAGTTAGAAGTGGTTATTATTGAAGTTGAAAAATATTATTCTTCCACGAGTATATTGTTACAATTGATTTGAGGTTATAATATGAAACACAAAAAAAGGCAACTAGAGTTCAAAAATTACTACATCATTTATCAGAAACTATTATCCTTCAAAGTTGTACTCTAAAAGAACTTCAGCGTGGCTGTTAGGATCACATTCCTGTACTAACAAAACCAGCAGACTTCAAAAAGTTATTGAAATGGATTTTCTAGCGAATACAGGAAAAAGCATTTAGGGTTGCCTCTTGGTTAGTGTAACACCCAAACTCAAGAAATAGCAATGTGCCAAAGGAGAATCAATTGAATCAAGTGTCATTACTTGGTTCAATCTGGTAAGCCTAACAAAAGATGTTTTAACTTGGATTCTCAAAGATGCTGCAAACATTGTGTATGCGCTACTCTATCGAAACAAATATATTTTACCAACCTTCAAGAGAAACATTGTTTCACTTTTCTTATAAAGATCTAAGCCAAAATAATCAAAGAGAGAAATTGATTTCCCCAAAACATTTATGCTTCATTCAAAATGAGAATTTTGAAACCACAAATCTTTTTTACACTATGGAAACAGAAAGTAGTGGTGAGGCCTTGTTCAAGAATAATAACTATTGTTTATTCACATTACAATCCCCAGACTTACCACTTCACGAATTTCTTGCTCAAACAGTTTGGAAGCAGCCGGAGCACTGAAGTTCTCTATTATTTTTATGCTCAGTTCATACTTTCTCCCCAGCAACTCACTAGTCTCCAGTTGTGCCTGCTTTTGTGGATCAATAAATGAAGGCCATCTTTTCTCAAACAATTCCTTATACAGTCTTCCTTCACGAGCATTATTTGATTGTAACCATGTCATATATTCACCCAGTAGTTTCTACACATCAGGACAATATTCATAAAAATAACTGAAAGTCAGATCTTTTCAGTTCCAAAGGATATCTGGTACAAAGTATGTCGAGGAACATTATAAGCAAATGAGAAAGGTACAGTAAAATCATCACAATGTAGTCCATGCTGTAACCTGAACAAAAATCATAGCCCTTAAGATGCTAAAACACACTAAACTGTCAACCAGCTTCATATTGTTTGGAGATGGGGGAAAGGGAAAAAAAANAGCCATCGCCGTTACCTCCACCATTGCTGCCGTTGCCTCCATTGGAAAGATATATAAATGATACGCGCGCACACACGACTTATTCAATTCAGTATAGCTTCCATAGAGTACATATCCCTGATTCCTGGTCTCACAATTTCTCTGTTCTCATTCTCAATACATATTTCTTTTTGACGAGTTTCGTCCACAACCGAAAGGTAGACATGACCAAGGATCTAAATTTTATGTCGACACGTCCGAAACATCCGAAACGTTTCGGAATTTCTACACTACGACACGAAACAGTGGTTGGAACACATAATTCCAGTGTTTCGGTCAAAACGGCACTGCTTTGGATCGTTTCGGACAAAACAGTGATACAGTGATATATTCGATTCACTCTAGGCCAAAAGGAAAAAGAGAGAGGCTCAATCAGAAAGATTCGTTCGCAGCTCCAAGTCAAAAAAAAAAGCAGAAACCAGATTCCTACTCAGAAATCTCATGATTGCTCAGAAATCGTTCACAGCCCTAAGCAAAAAATAAAAAACAGAGAAGAGGGAGAGAAAGGCACCAACGAACCAGAAATTGAAGGAGAGTTCCTGTAACTTACCTCCTTAACTCCAGATTTGAGCAGATCCAACATTATCCACGCAGATTTAGGGCTTCGGAGTTATGCTGTCTTCATCGCTGCGACCACGAGCAACCACCGGTCCACAGGTATGTCCATCTTCTTCTTCTTCTTCTTCTCTCTCTCTCTCTCTCTCTCACGATGGCATCACAATCACCAGAGGTCACCTCTCGCCCTTCTCTCTGTCTATCGGTGGTTTGTTTGTGTGGTTGAAATGTGCAGGCTTCGGCTTTTATAGTTTGGCCGTAGCCATGTAAGTATGTCTTCATTAGCATTTCATGTATATCATGAGACCTTATTATTATGTAAAAAAGTGTTTATTTGATAAAAATTAAACGTTTGAAACTAATTTAAGTGATTTTCACCTCATATCAAGCCTTTTTTTTCCTCCAATTTAAATTTATTCTTGTATAAATAGATGTTAACCCAATAAATATGTTGAATTAATCAATTATTTAGCTTATCTTTATAAATTAATGGATTGTATTTGTGTTTCCAAGCGTTTCTATATTTTTTTTGCGTTTCCCAAACGTTTCCGTTTTTTAGCCGACCGTAACGGTAGTTTGAAACGAAATTTCAATCCTTGGACATGATCAAGTTATTAAACCCCAAAGAGCAGTTCNCAAAAGTTTCCGTTTTTTAGCCGACCGTAACGGTAGTTCGAAACGAAATTTCAATCCTTGGACATGATCAAGTTATTAAACCCCAAAGAGCAGTTCTAGATACAGACTTATGAACATTAATTGAATAATAACACTTGGTTAGGAATGAATATAGGTCCTCAAGCAGTTCATAAACTTTAAAATTGAGAATTAAAGCAACAGCACAACATGATTACCAAGCATCAGAGACTCCTAATTTATTATTAAGATCGCATGGTCAGTTTCTTGACAATACATTGTCCTTTTAACTACAAGAACTCTGAATAGTGGCCGTTAGATCATACCTCACTTTCAGTCAATGGGCGATCTGCAGAAATTACAAAAAGAAGCAAATCTGCACGAGGCACAAATTCCTCAGTCAGACGTTGTTGCCTCTGAAGAATCACATTCGTTCCAGGTGTATCAACAATAATCATCTGCTTCAAAAAAATATTAAAACAAATTAAATTCCCTGAGCAAGGCAATTATCTTTCCAAAGAATAGGGTAGTTTCGGGTCAAGTTTCAGAGCAGCTATTCGCGTAGAAGACACGGAAAATGAATCAGAAGAAATCAACATTGTATATGCATTCCTTTAGAAGTAAGTATGTTGCTCAACAAGTTTATTTTTCATTTTTCATTTTTCCATTTTCCTCATTGTGGTCCATTGTATCAAGTTCCAAACCAATGCAACACATTCAGTTCTAGTAATCCTCAATTTATGGCTTGTCACATTCTCCTTTTGGTGCATGTAGTATTCAGATCAAGTCCTGTGACACAACCAACGGTTAGTACTCTCAGAGCATGAAATACCTGTCTCTGTAATCAATTTCAAATTTCAACTGATTTAATCCTAACATAATTGTGTCCTTGCAAAATTAATAAGCTGAATTATTGTTATCTTACAGTCAAAAATCTAATAATGACGATGATACTGATACTAGCATATACTGATACTAGCATAATAAAAACAAGAATTGATTTCTCAAATTAAAATGAGTTTTGTTTCCAATTAATATCAATACACCATTTGCAATCTGTGGCACACGAATACTGAATTATTGTCCAACAATGCAGTACACACATGCTTTCCAGCATTCCATAAATTATTAACTCCACACAATTTGGTGTTAAGGTGTACTTGTGAGCAGCCTCATATAAAAGGGAATGAAAAGTAAGCATATTCTATAAGAGAATCTAATGCAGGACAATAGGGAAGAGACTAAGAGAGAAAAAGAAGAATAGAAAGGAAAAAGAGAGGAAAGAAGAAGAGAAATAGGCAAAGTGTAGGAACTAGAGGAGAAGAAAAAAAAAAGAGCAGAGAAAGAAGAGAGTAGAAGAGGGAGAGAGGGAAAGAGATGACAGAGAGGCGAGGGAGATCCAATATCTTCCACTATTCGAATGCCAATACTAGAACTCCAATACAATAAGCCCAATATTAATAGGATGTCTTAAAGTAACAAAACTAGCAATAACCTAAAATTATAAAAATAGTAATTAAGTATTAAAGGAATCCCAAAATCTAATCTTCGACCTGAGGCTCCAGCTAATCCCTTAGTGATTCTCATCAGCAGAACTGTCCTAAAATAAGCTATCATAAGCATGCAACAGGATCCGAGTGTTTGTGCAATTCCTCTTCTTCTTCCCTTTTTTTTTTTTTTTTTTTTGGCGGGGAACAGTATTTTAACTAATATCAAGGGTAAAATGTAGAAAATTTTGAAGCAACTCACTTCTTTAAGAATTTGAGCAGGTAGGTAGCATATATATTGTCCATCTGGATGCCTTTCGCAATACTGTTGCTCCTTGGGATTCAACTCAGAATAGCGTAAAAAAGTTATTTCATTTGTTGTAGGAACCACCCCATCTTTAAGGTACTTTTTGCCAAGAAGAGCATTGATCACAGTTGATTTGCCAGAGTTGAATTCACCCTGGTAACACAAGAAGTGTAAAACCCATGAAAGAAATGAAAAACAAAATTGCAAACGTACCTTAAAAAGCAATTTTCTCAAAAAGCATGGAACATAAATCACAAAGTAATCTTGAACAAGATTCAATGTTCCCATAATAGACAACAATTTTCCTGTGCACCAAAAACACTTATAAAAAGTTCTAATTTTGATCAAGCATGAGAAATGTTTTTAACCACTTAACCTATTGGGAGATCTTAAATATTGACCCTTTAGCTGTATACTTGCATGCAGGTAATTTCATCAAGCTGGGATAGCAAAACAATGTTCCATTGCAAAACCAAATGATTATAATAAACAATTCCAAATTAAATCCAGAAAACAGGGGAACAGAGGAGTCGGGGAGTAGGAAAGAGAAAAAAATTACCCAGGTAGTTGAAACCATGATGCCGAAACAATATACTTTTCGTTCACAAAATAATCTGATTATTTGGTGCCTCTTAGTGTACAACTCAACAACTTACTCAAAAGAATACATCACATCATCAACCTGCCTAGAAATAAAGAGGCTTCTCCCGCTAACCCATCGCAACTAGGGATAATTCATATCAAACTTTTGTGTTTCACAGAAATTTAAGTGCAAGATAACACCAATAATATTGGACTTAAAACTTGTTCCAATCGCCACAACTATCAATTTAAGCATGAGTGCTATTTTCTTTTCGCCGAGCAGCAGCAAAGCTATTTCCATGATCGGCGATCTTTACGACCGAAAAAAAGGACATTCCATTTAAGTGCAATAAAGTCAAAAGGACAAAAGGGAAATGTAGCCTTTTCAATGTGAGCTAACTGCCTCTTCGGGGACTTATCCTTTTGAGAATACTATCTTGGTTGGTAAGTCATCCATTTCCCAAATGCTTTTTCATGCAACCAGATGTCCCATCACCAAGTGGAATTTTTTTCCATATTCTGAGAGTCCAATCATGAAGAAAATCCAATCCCCCTTTCCCTGGGGTACTATCATCCATCTGATAGATCAAGCAGTACACGCCATGTAGGCTGTCGCCATCAAGGTCTATGGCTCCATTAAGAAGATGGGAGACAGGATCCGTGGTTTTTTGGTGTTATAGGTTCTCTTTAAGGCCTCTGTTTAGGCATGCTTAAGGTGCATTTAAGCGTATATTTTGGATATATATAATTCAGATAAGCCTTTAAGGCTCTTCCTTGTTTTTTTTTTTTTTTCAATAAAGCAATTCAATTGACTAGACTTTCTTAAGTTAAGAACACTCATCAATCTTAATTATTTGACCATGGTTTAAGGTCACGGTATCGGTCATCGACTCGAAGGGCTTTGAAACACATCGGTCGCAGCTTCGCGGCACTGTATCAGCTATATAACCTAAAAAAATGTTGAACATGATGAGAGATACGCGGCGTCGGAACCGTATTGGCCGATTTGGTGACGATGACTCAGGATTGACTTGGATACAACTCAGACGACTCAGCCGAGTCTCACGAGACTCGGGGTTTATACGTATCATGTAACGTAACGAAATCGTCTCCAAAGGTGTCAAGTCAGATACAACCCGGTCGACTCATAACGGTATTGGCCAATACTTTTACTACTTTTATTCGGTACAACAAAAATACCAGTTTTGCAGGTGATTTACTACATGTTTCTTTTGAAACATGTATTTGACAAAACAATAACAATTCANGATACAACTCGGTCGACTCATATCGGTATTGGCCAATACTTTTACTACTTTTATTCGGTACAACAAAAATACCAGTTTTGCCGGTGATTTACTACATGTTTCTTTTGAAACATGTATTTGACAAAACAATAACAATTCAATTCTCCTTCAATCAAGAATAAATTGAGGTATCGAAGTGGTGGGCTTATTTCAATGCACAAAAAGCATAACACTAGCTTTATTTCAGCAGATGAACTTCAATATTGTCATAGAAAAAACGAACTCTACACCACAATTTCTGCTGAGCCTGATCAAATACACCTTCCAAAGACTCCATAAAACATCGATGGCAAGCATTTAGAACATTTTTATACTAAATAATGCATGGAAAACAAGATAATTTCAGAAGTTTGGATGAAATGAAATAGAAGATAAAGTTTTTATTTGAAATTCAGAGCTAATACCCACGTATATCTGTGGAACCAGTATTTGTTGAAGTTCAGCACACAATTACCACTATAACCAGTGAAAATGGCTCATCAAGTTGAGAAACAGCATCAATGAGAAGTGAGACTTCCTCCATCTGCCATTCAAGGTCAATAAAACTCGACATAAGCATAAGCAAGGAAACAATTGAAGAAGATAGAATTGTCTGAAGAACAACTTCAGCTACCAAACGTTAATGTTAAAAGATCACCAGTGGTGCAGCTCTCTGGATGACATTTATCGCTTCAAGCAATACCGATCTCTCTTTTTCTATGATCTGTTGTTCTCTATCCTCCAGTTCAGTAAAGCCGGCCACCCTCTTTTTCCCTGGAAATCCATTATCTGTGTCCAATGTCCAGATTTTTTGAGAACTTTGCACTTTTTCATGTTTTGGCTCCTTTGGTACATAAATACTGTAAAACAATCTGCTCAGATCATCATCACCAAAGGACTTCAACTCTTCCAATGAAATAACTAAACCACTAGCCCCTGATTTGAGTAATTGTGATCCTTCATTAAACAATTTCTCAACTCCACACGTGTTGCTCATGATGAAAATTGGAATTTTCACATGCTCGAATACAGAGCTCACCAGTTCCTTATGATCCCTCTCTCCATCAATACCATATATAAGAAAATCAGCACCTTCAAAATTAGATGCATTTACAGCAGCATTCAAAGTCTGCACATCTCTTGCAACTAATGGAAGAACTATTGCTTCAGATTTGGAGTCCATCATTGCATTCCTCGCCACAATGGCAGGGAGACCTGTGGAAAGAAGGGACAACCAGATTACCCACAAAATGAAAGAGATTCAAGTTGAATACTCTAAATACACAAATTCTGCTTTGAAAGTGAATTAAGTGACAAAAACCATTGTCTGATACTATAACAGATGCTACTATGAAAAAGACAATCCAAATGCTGGGATCTTTGGGATTGGCTGTCAGCAAAATTCAGCCTATGTGACAATCCAAATGTTGGGATCATTGGGATTAGCTGTCAGCAAAATTCAGCCCATGCAATTGATGAATCAAAAGGTATGATCCTCCATAACTCGGAGCTTACATTCAAAAGCATTTATCTTCCAAGCAACGTACGTAATCATAGGCATAACATGCCGATAGGTGACACAAAATTCAAGCTCCACACCGTGGAAAAAAGCATGATAGAAACAAGTTTCTCACAATTCATGAATTATCTCCAACCTTCACTCAAATTTGAGTCAACATTTGAGTAAAAAGCTCAATTTAATACAAAGGGATCCAATGGACAACCTCAAATTTAAAGGAGCTCAAAATATAACTACTGAATGGTTAAAGGAGAATAAATTGAACCATTGGAAGTCTCTTTTCATTAGGTATGATCACTTGGTATGAGTTTGAGTAAGAGTTGGAGCTTTTTTTTTAATCTATTTTTATTTAAATTTAAATTTGAGTCAAGATTTGAGTAAAGGTAGGAGATGCTCTCTAAGGATAAAAGACATCTAATTAACATATACTAAGCACATGAGTATCACCTTGATCGGAAAGCACAACCCCACTGGCATTAACCGCGGCGGCAATATCAACACGCTCGGCAATCATCAAGTACGCCCGGTCCCTAATCACCGACTTCAACAAACAAGCAGCTTCGTACAACTTCCCACCACTTCCTTCACCACCATTGAGCACCACTATCCCGACTCGATTCTTAACCGCCCCGTCAATCACATCCAAAGCACTCTTGTCACTTAGTACATCTTCCGAACTCAATTGGAGTACAATATTGGGTACTTTGATCTCGGGCCGCTTAAACCCTCCTGGGAACAACGTTCTTGGGGGTTCTTGGGGTTGGTTTTGAGTGTTTGAGGAAAAAGAACTGTTCTTTTCGAGTGAGTTTACAGAAAGATTGGTCCGGCGAGGTCGAAATTTGAATTGAGAAGGATGTGCATGCTGGCAGAGTTGGGAGTTGAAGAAAAGATGAGATGTGAAGTGAATGGATGTGGAATGAGAGAGTAGTGATACCATGGGAGGAGGGTGTGTGGTTAAAGAAAGATACAGTTTCGGAGACTTAGGCTTTAGGAGAAGTTGCCGGTGCCGGAGCCAGTGGGGTGCGTGTGTGTGTGTGTGTGTGTGTGTGTGTGTGTGTGTGTGTGTGTGTGTGTGTGTGTGTGTGTGTGTGAGAGAGAGAGAGAGCCTTACTTGTGGTTCTGAAGTTCGCTATCTTTTCTTATCTTTTTTCGAAAGTTGGGCGCTGGGAAATGTAGATTAGCGACTGGGCGTGGGATAATATAAAGGGCTTTGATCCGGCCCATCCGGGTTTGCCCATTAGAGCCCAATGGTGGTGATTGGCTCCACCTTTTTCTTTTTTCTTTTCATTTTTCATTTTCTCGACGACTTTAGCAGTTTAGGACACTGGCATACAAATCTTTAGGCAATGTTATTTCTAGCCTTCCATCACGAAGGATTTAGCTGGCCTAGTTAGGAACTGCAAGGCAAACCAAATCTACTTCAACATTTTTAGATATCTCACCAGAACAGTTTATTTTGATATTTAGTTTTTAGCTTTTGTAACAGTGAAAAATCAACATCACGTACAAAGTGTGTCAATCTACTCTAACATTTCAAGATGCCCCACCAGAACATCTCATCNCTGGCATACAAATCTTTAGGCAATGTTATTTCTAGCCTTCCATCACGAAGGATTTAGCTGGCCTAGTTAGGAACTGCAAGGCAAGCTAAATCTACTTCAACATTTTTAGATATCTCACCAGAACAGTTTATTCTGATATTTAGTTTTTAGCTTTTGTAACAATGAAAAATCAACATCACATACAAAGTGTGTCAATCTACTCTAACATTTCAAGATGCCCCACCAGAACATCTCATCCCGCTCTTGAGCTCTTGGCCCTTCTAGTGGAAAATCGACATAACCTAATCAAGAAGTGCAATGCGAACCAAATTCACTCTAACATTCCTAGATACCCCACTAGAATAACTCATCCCGGTCTTGTGCTCTTGCCCTTTCCAGCAATAGAGAATCGACATTGTAGACCTTTTTCCATAGGTGTAGGTCATTGTAAGTTTGCAATAATTGCTATCGATTACCTCACAAAGCGATGAGTACCTTGTGACATTCACCAAACAAAAAATAAAAATACTTTGTATGGAAATCAATCGTTTGTCATTTTAAAATTCTCAGAGTTATAATCTCAAACAATGGGAAACAATTTTTGAGCTGGAAATCAATAAGTACTTCTCTTCACCTCAATGTGGCCGTTGGATTGAGGATGAGCTGGAAAAAAGATAATGGTCGTTGGATTGAGTCATACTTCTTTTTTTCTGACATTATATTTTTTATACCTAAGGGATCTAACTGACTTGATGACAAATCTCAGGGATATAAATACAATTTAGGAAAATTTGGAGGCGGGTCCCCCTAGATGGACTTGATTGAAAATAAGTCATGTAAAAAAATTTATTTGGTTTGAAGTCCACTTATTACGACTTTTACTATTATACCCTTATTTATTAAAAAACCTCAAACGGCGTGTAACTTGCCGTTTGTTTACAAGACAGAGAATCCTTTCGTTGTCGTCTATGAACCCAATAACTTCCCCTTCACTCCAGGCTACGAATTCAACAAATTCCTCAAATCTTTCTTATTCTCCTTCTCCGAAAACATATACCGCCATTACCCAAACCGAATAAATTTTAATCTGGTTTCAAACAATAAAACCGAAAATCAATTTTACTCTTTAAGTTTCATTGGCGAAAAGCTACAGTTGGTCTCATAATTCTTGAAATCTTCACAAAAGCTTTGGGATTCTTTAAAATTTTGAGAGGAATGTGATTTTACATGAACTTTGATGTTTGTTTTAGGATTTTAAAACAACATTTACACCCTATATCGTTCATACTGTCAAAATTTTTTATTTTTTTTTTTTTGAAAATAAAATTGTGAGTTCTTGTTACTATATAAAAGAGTTGGGTATTATGATTTTATTTTTTTTATTGTGTTATACATTTGAAAATGATTGGTGTGGTTTCTTTGAAATTTCTAATGTTAATGTGACAACACTTTTCAAAATTTATTATCTTAATGTTGATATATTGATGTTATTGATATGTATTGAGTGTCCTAAATCAACCATTAACATTGTGTTACCATTAGTTTATGACAGTAACATCAATTTTTTGAATTATTTTTTTACTATCAATTTTACGAAATTCAATGTTACTGTGCACAATATGATCTTGGGGATGGAGCTATTCATGTTATTGTTACTTAATCAATGTGTTATATAATTAGATGTGTAAATTTTTTGTTGCTTTCTTCATTGTTCAAGAAATTCAAAAATCATTGGTTCAAGAGTACATTGAAACTTTTCAGGTTACTATGTGATAATTGGAAAAATAATTTCATATTTTCAATATATGGATGTGCTTAGGTACTGTGGATGTTACTAATAACTTGGTGTTATTGTAAACATGTTACTGATCAAACCCTTTGTGATTTTTAATTTTTAATGCAACATATGTTGTTTGTAAAGAGTGCAAGGGTTGTTGTTTGATTTTAAATGTAAAATGGGAACTCAATGAATTTGCAATGGAATCAATCGTATATTGAAAAATGAAGTTACTGAATTGTGTTTGTTTGATATTACTAAGAATATATTGTTAGGATTCAATTTATTAGTTAGTGTTACTATGATCATGTTACTAAGTTAATGTTCTTGTATGTTGTTCATCCATTGATATTTCAAATGTCATGTTATAGGTTGATGGCAAAAAAAGGTAAATCTATTGCTCCAAAAGCAGCTTCATTTCACCAATTCAGGTCTAATTTGCTTCCATTGGTGAAGGCTATAACTGGACTAAACATCAGAGATGTTCACAGAAAACAACTAAAGAAAACACCATTTTGGTATTTGTTTAACACAATATCAGCAACTGAAGTGAATAAAGAATGGTTCAAAAAGAATGACAAGAGTATTGTGGACATAATTACAATGTTTGATGGTGAAACATCAAGATTCTGTATTGGTGGAAAAGGTTTGAAGATACGGAAGATTGATGTAACACTCATTTTGGGTATAGAAGATGGTGTCGATCCAATTCTTTCCCCCCAAAGTACAAAAAAAAATTCACCATTTGTTAGGAGGAGATTCAGTAACACCAATAGGTTAAATGCACCAATTATAAAAAACAGGTTGGAGGAGGCAGCAACGGGTGTTGGTAGAGATGACTGTAAAGATTTTGCTAGATTGTTCTCTTTGTATGTCTTAGTGACACTACTAATTATAAATATGGGGCAAACGATTGGATGAGGATATGTGTCGTACATAGAAAATCTGGATGAAATAAAAAAATACGACTGGTCTCAAGCAACAATTGATGCAATGATGAATTTCATACGGTTGAAGTTTGAAACACTAAGTNTGGCTATAACTGGACTAAACATCAGAGATGTTCACAGAAAACAACTAAAGAAAACACCATTTTGGTATCTGTTTAACACAATATCAGCAACTGAAGTGGATAAAGAATGGTTCAAAAAGAATGACAAGAGTATTGTAGACATAATTACAATGTTTGATGGTGAAACATCAAGATTCTGTATTGGTGGAAAAGGTTTGAAGATACGGAAGATTGATGTAACACTCATTTTGGGTATAGAAGATGGTGTCGATCCAATTCTTTCCCCCCAAAGTACAAAAAAAAATTCACCATTTGTTAGGAGGAGATTCAGTAACACCAATAGGTTAAATGCACCAATTATAAAAAACAGGTTGGAGGAGGCAGCAACGGGTGTTGGTAGAGATGACTGTAAAGATTTTGCTAGATTGTTCTCTTTGTATGTCTTAGTGACACTACTAATTATAAATATGGGGCAAACGATTGGATGAGGATATGTGTCGTACATAGAAAATCTGGATGAAATAAAAAAATACGACTGGTCTCAAGCAACAATTGATGCAATGATGAATTTCATACGGTTGAAATTTGAAACACTAAGTGCAGTAACCTGTTGTGTACTACTTTTACCAGTAAGTTTTAGATTGTTGTTTTATTTGATTTTTTAATATTTTTTAATTAAACACTATCTATTCTATATAATGTAACTAAATCTAAATTGTAGTATAGGATATGTAAACACACGTCTCTTATTGTGGCCGACAAGGTGGATGCATTCCCACGGTGGATGAAATGGGACTTAAGAAAACTTTGGATGGCTCTCTCACAAAGCACACTGTCCAACATAGCAGCTGATCAGGTATTATTTAAATATTTTTTTTTTCGTATTTAAATTATTTTTGACAATTGCTTAATTGCATGACAATGTTAAATTTGTCATCAATGGTATTATATCAAATTGATGTTACTATTGTTGATATTAGCATGAAAATGAGTNGTTTTTTCGTATTTTAATTATTTTTGACAATTGCTTAATTGCATGACAATGTTAAATTTGTCATCAATGGTATTATATCAAATTGATGTTACTATTGTTGATATTAGCATGAAAATGAGTGTTACTGTAGAAAAATGGATGTTATTATGGCTATGATTGTGTCATTCATTGTCATTAGATTCAATTTTTTAACGTTACTAATGATGTTGTCAAGTCTTCCGAAGAAAACTAAAGAAAATAGTTGGTGAGAAGAACTTAATGAAAGTGATTCGAAAAAATTCCAAGAATGTGTCGGCTAGTTTGGAGGTTCTACAACAAAGCATTGTTGCCAATAAGAGTGCTTTAAATTCAAAAATGGAATATGCAAGTGATGAACCTAATCTAGTTGTNTTGTGTCATTCATTGTCATTAGATTCAATTTTTTAACGTTACTAATGATGTTGTCAAGTCTTCCGAAGAAAACTAAAGAAAACAATTGGTGAGAAGAACTTAATGAAAGTGATTCGAAAAAATTTCAAGAATGTGTCGGCTAGTTTGGAGGTTCTACAACAAAGCATTGTTGCCAGTAAGAGTGCTTTAAATTCAAAAATGGAATATGCAAGTGATGAACCTAATCTAGTTGTTGATGATCATACTATGGTTAATGAAGATATTCATGGAAGTGATGATGCAGTACATGTTCCTATAAATGATCA